CAGGGACCAGGCTCTGCTCCAGGAGCTGTGCTTTGGGGGACCCACTGGACCCCGCTGGAAAGCAGTGTGGGCCGGACCTCAGGCTGGACAGGCACTGATCTCAGAAGTTCCCTCCAGACGGACACAGATGCTGTCAAATCCAAGGATGCAAAGGGGCCGGTTAGTGGTCATGGTGCCACGCTCCCCGTCTGCCTCAAGTAACGCCTCCAAGCTTGGAATTATTGTTCCCAAATGTGTACTTACTTGGGTTTGCTTTTGAAAAGGTTAGGATTTAAGTATCACCCGATAACACGCACATGCCCGGCTACACCCGCAATTACAGAGCAGCAAGGCCCAGGGTCTGGCGGGTGCCCACGGCTTGCTGAGGAAGTGCCCTGGGCGGCAGGCCACTCTGCCCAGGGAGGGCCTGGTCTGGGTGTGCCGCATACCCGAGTTATCGCAGGATGGGGCTCAGGATGCTGCTCCCTGGGTTGGAGGAGGCTTTTCAGGGCACCCTGAGGACAGAGGGGCACTCTGGCCGGCTGCACTCACACACCACGACGGGTAACAGAGAACAGACACCGATTCATCGTCCTGTCCAGGCCAGTATGGAGCGGCGGCTCCTGTGATCTGTTAGGACCCTGGGTCCCTGACGTTTGCCATCCTTTGGGCCCTGGGCATATTTCTTATCCTCAGTTTATCATCCATAAAATAGGATGATATACTTGCAACAAGTAGAGAGTTGCAAGACTATTGCAAGTAGAGAGAAGGTGTGCAAAGACCAACCCCAGGGCCCACTGGAGGCAACACCCAGAGATCTGGGGGCGGGAGCAGCCGGGAGGGGGGCAGATGACTGCGAGCCCGGGCATGGCCCTCCCAGCACGTCCCACTCTCGATCACGGTGGTGGTGGTGAGATTTATGAGCCACATTATTGTTCTTGGCTACCTGAAGACCACCGGCGGGAACGAGGGAGGCAGGCCAGCGTGGGTGATGCATGCCAGGGGGCTCCATCGGACATAAAAAGGCAAGGCTGCAGGCGGGAGGAGGTGGCATCGGGGAGGAGCCTGGGGGGTGAGGCCCGGAGCCCGGGACACATGGAGCCGCCACCTCTTCCCTCCTCGCTGTCTGTAGGACGAGGCCCACGTTCTGCAGCTGCAAAGCCAGGCCGCCTGGGTCAAGGGCCAGGCCCTTGTGTGCACACACTGCCCCCAGTGCACACACTCGCACGAACCGCCTCCCCAGCAGCCTCTCCTCCCGGGCCTCCGTCCCCACCCTCAACCCCTGGCTGTCCTCTCCATCTCCAGCCACCGCTGCAGGGAGCCTGGCAGGTTTGCAGGGACCTGCTGTCTCCCTTGGAGCCGTGGGACTTTGGGAAAGTTGGTTAACCTCTTTGACCTCGGTTTCTTCTCTGTTATTTTTATTTATTTATTTTTTTGGTGGAACCTGAAGTGTTCAATTAAAAATTAATTTGTAAAATGTTAGCTCCTTCAGAGACATCAAGAACTGCAGTCCATCTAGGACATTTTGTTTCTTATTTGGGTGTTTGCTAAGGTCTTTATTCACAGAACACCTTTCTTCACCGTCATTGCTGTTGCTCAGTTGCTCAGTTGTGTCTGACTCTCTGCGACCCCACAGACTACAGCACACCAGTCTTCCCTGTCCTCCACCATCTCCCGGAGCTCAGACTCCTGTCCACTGAGTCGGTGATGCCATCCAACTGTCTCGCCCTCTGTGGTCCCCTTCTCCTCCTGCCCTCAATCTTTCCCAGCATCAGGGTCTTTTCTAATAAGTCAACTCTTCACATCAGGTGGCCAAAGTATTGGAGTTTCAGCTTCAGCATCAGTCCCTCCAATGGATATTCAGGACTGATTTCCTCTAGGATGGACTGATTTGAACTCCTTGGTGTCCAAGGGACTCTCAGGAATCTTCTCCATCCCCACAGTTCAAAAGCATCAATTCTTCGGTGCCCAGCCTTCTTTATGGTCCAGCTCTCACATCCATACATGACGACTGGAGAAACCATAGCTCTGACTATGCTATGCTTAGTCACTCAGTCGTGTGTGACTGTCTGTACCCCACAGGCTGCAGCAGGCCAGGCTCCCCTGTCCTCCACCGTCTCCAGAGCTCAGACTTCTGTCCACTGGGTCGATAACCCTCCCACCCTCCGTCCTTCCCATCAGGAAGCTTTCACAAGCCTCTTATGCTAATCTATCTTTCTTCATAAATCCCAATAACAATTGTTCAAGAGAGCAAAAGACGTCATATTATTTCTAGAGCAAACACACAATCTTCTGACATATATGCACACACAGCAAGTGGAAAATAGTTGAAATTTCATTAGAAAAGAACATGTTTTCTAAATAGGGTGATGGATAAACAGTGGTAAAGGAATGTGCGCACGTTATATATACTGGAGGGTTAATATTTGAAGAAGTAGCAGGTCACTTAGCCAGGGATTTCATTATGACTGCAGCATGTCCGTCTAATAGCAAGAGGCATTTAACCTCTTCTCTGTCAATAACAGTAACAGTGGCCCCCCAGGGTGGGGTGGATGGGGCCCAGCCTAGAGCCAGTAAACACGAGTTAGATTGGCCCTGGGGAAGGTGCCCGAGCCCTGAGACCAGAGCTGGGGCCTGTGACCCCACTGCCCAGGCTCCCCGGGGCCTCCTTGGCTGCTTGGGCCAGCTTGTTTAACACGTGGTGTGTGCTGGTCAGCCGGTTAGCTGCTAGACTGCAAGCTGGCCCAGCTCAGGGATGTGGATGAGGGGTCGCCCTGGACTGGTGTGTGGGTGCCTTCTCCCACTGCACCCTCAGCTCCGGGGCAGGGTGGGCCCCTCCTGCGGTCAGGAGTGTGGCTGTTCGCCAGCTCCCAGTGTGTGCTGTTGCCCGACCAGCGGGCAGTGACACGCGGGCCTGGGGAGAAGTCACAGGCCAGCAGTGTGGAGCGGGCAGCCGTGTGACCCTGGGCTCGTCACGGCAGTGAGTCAGGGCGGGGGCGACTGTCCACTGAGTCCGTTCACCCGTCTGCAGCGGACGTCTATCCCCACAAGGAGATATGCCAGGGAGAGACGCCAGGGAGGTCTGGCCTGGAGGCGGGTGGTTTCCATGGCCACAGGCCCTGAGAAGATGGGGCTGGCCTGAGCCTCAGCAGCTGGGCGGGCCAGGCCTCCCAGCCGGAGGGCGTGCCAGCATGGGGCTGGGCGCAGGGACGCGCAAGAGACAGGCCCAAAGCCAGGGCAGCAGGGAGGCCCGAGTTCAGATCCAGCCTGGACGCCGCGGGGCTCTGCGGGTGAGCGGCTCCGCCTCCCCGAGCCTCAGTTTCCTTGTCTTTCACAGATGCGAGAGAGCATGAGAAGGGCGGATGGCATCCCTGACCCGATGCACACGAGTAAGCTCCAGGAGATGGTGATGGACAGGGAGGTCGATGCGCTGCCGTCCATGGGGTCGCAGAGGGTCGGACACAAGTCAGCAACTGAATAGCTACAGCAACGACGCGAGCAGAGGCCCCGGGAGAGACGTGAGGAGGCCGCGGCCACCATCCCCGTGGTTCCTGCCTCTCGCCCTTCGCCACGTCCCCGGGGAGTGCGGCGGGCGGGAATGAAGGCTGGGGACACCCCACTGACCTGGCTCAGTCTGAGCCCATCTTGGGACGACGGCGACAGGCTCCAGAGGTCAAGTTTCAGAGGCCTCCCTCGCTTCGCTGGCTTCGGCCCGAGAAACCCAAACCCAGACAAAACGCAGCCTCAGCCCCCTCCAGGCCTTTGTGTCTGGACAGCCGTCCACCCTCTGGGACATCTGTGGAGGCCCCAGCAGGGAGACACGCTCTGAATAGGGTCTCAGGGCATCTGCATTCAACAGGGGTTCCCCCCACCCCCGCTGCCCCCTGCCCGGCGGCTTCCTTCGGCGGGCCCTGCCCCCAGGACCCCGGCCGCCTCCCGCACTCTCTCCTCGGGGTGGTCCCCAGCGCCCACCGTCACCTCTGAGGGATGCCCAGCGGCCCCTGGTACTGCCCCCCCACCCCCCGGCCACCTGTCTGTCCTGCTCAGGCGCCGCGTCATGACAGCTCTGGCTCATTCACAGGGGTGAAAGGAGCCCCTTCCAGGCCACCGCCCGCCTCCCTGGCCACATCTGAACTGGGCAGGGGGAGGGGTGGGGCAGAGGCAAACAGTCTTTTTTCTGTTCTCTCCTGCACAAACGGAATTCAATTAGGAGAGAAGAAACCCAAGCCCAGCCAAATAGTGCTTTAAAAAAAAAAATCCTTCAGGGAAGAGTCATCTTCCCAGATCCTTAGCAAATCAATGCGATCAAGGGCTCCTGCGCGGTTTTTCTCCCCAGATGCATAGGGTGCAGCCAGGGAGTGCTCTCCCACACCCAGGGGAGGCCGGGCAGTGGGGGGATCGCCCCCCCTGCCGTTCCCACCCCACCAACTGTGGTGGGAAAGCAAGACTGTCTTGAGCAGGCGGGCGGCCAGCAAAGCAGGCCAGCTCCACGCGTCCCAGTGCCAGCCCCCGGGGCGGGTCGCGGGTGTCGCTGGACTCCGAGTGGGAAAGTCTCCCCCCACGGCCCAGCCGCCTGCCCCCGCTCCTCCTCCGGGGCTTGGCTACTCCCCAGAGCTGCCACAAGCAGGCAGGGGCAGCCTGGAGCCTGGATGCGGGAAGTCACGGCAGGTGGCTGGATCCATGGGGCTTGCCTCCCACGACGGCCTCTGTCCCCAGGTCCCTCCCAGGGTGCTCCAAGGGCCTCGGGGAGACACTGCTCCCAAACGAGAGCTGGGAGGTGGCTTCACTGTCCCCACGCTTCATGAGGAGCCGCCCACCTGCAGCCCAGGAAACCGCGCCAGCCTTCTCGGAGCCACCCTGGCGGACAAGCCCCGCTCCCAGCCCGCCTGTGGCCCTTCTCTGGAAGTGGACCGAGGGCCTGTCGAAGAGTCCCATCTCATCTCCAGATGCTCCATGTCTCTGGAGACTTCCTCTGCCTTAGAGAGCCAACTAGTTTCAGAATATCAATATGACACCAGAAGAGAAATCGAACCAGCCTTTTTTTTCCTCTCAAGAGTCCCCTCTAACCCTAGGAGGAGGCAAAGTCCATCCAGACCTGAAGTCCTGGGAAGACCATGCAGCTGAAGTCCGAGTGTCGGGGCTCTGATCACGCCCTCCGCCCCCCCGCCAGGCTCACTGCAGTTCGGCAGACCCTTGCTGCTCTCACCCACTCTGGGAAGTAGGCACGTTGGGCCCGGCACCCAGCGCCCTTGGGGAAGCCGGGCGGTGGTTGCGTCGCATCTGTGGGGAGGCTGCCCCTCCCCAGGCCTGGGGGCAGAGTGCCGGTCTGAAGGCCCGCTGCCCAGCCCCCAGCCCCCAGCCCCGCTCCTCTGCGGGCTCTTCCTCCGCAAGGGCCCCCCTTGGCCCCAGACCCCGGGCATTCTGACCAACCCCAGGCTGTGAGCTCCCTGAGGGTGGCAGCCGCTCTCTTGTACCACTTGTCGGCTGCCAGCCCCAGCACAGAACTGGCACATGGAAGGGACTGGGTGAACCTCAGGTCCGGCCCGAGGGCAGCTGAGTGCCCTCGGAAAGAGCAGGGGGCCAGGACCCCACTGCCAGGTGCGCCAACTCACCTCCCCCGCCGCCCACAGCCCATCCGGCGGATGCCACCAGTCCAGGGGTGCCCAGCTGGAAGGAGCAGGAAATGCCCGGGCATTTCAGCGGGCACCGGCTGATGTTCAGTTCCCTTTGATGTTCGGAACCAGAGGCCGGCTTGGCTACCAGCGCCTCCTCTCACAGATGCTGGGCACTAATTAGCGCTAATTAGAATCTGATCAACTCGCCAAGGCAATCTGTCCTGCCGGGGCAGGCGGGGTCCCAGGAGCACGTCTGATCTTGAAGGGAGCTTGGAGCCTTTTCTGCAAAGAGACCCTGTGTGTAGCTTTGAAGGGGAGGGCGGGGTGCCTTTGTGCCTTGGTGCTGGCTTTGAGGACCTCGCTGTTGGAAGCGATTCTGTTCAAATGTGTCCGACGTATTCCAAGGGGAGGCAGGACAATCGCATGCCTCGGAGAGATGGGCCAGGAGGAGCAGCCGCAAGGCTGGCCAAGTGTCATCTCCAACGTTTGGTGCAGAGGCAACAACGGGGCTTCACAGGCCAGGGTTGCCATGGGAACAGACCGGATGGAAGAGGCAGGCGGCACCCTGAATCTTGCATCCCTCTCCCCCTCCCCCCAGGAGGACACTTGCCTGGGCCCTTGCGAGGAGTTGGCAGAAAGGGGTCCCTGGAAGCCTGGTCCTGGCAGAAGGCAAGCGGCCAGGTGTGGGCGTGGCTTAGAAATCCTTCGGGGCACTGTGACATGTGATTGACAGATGTGGGCGTGGCTTAGAAATCCTGCAGGGCACTGTGACACGTGATTGACAGATGTGGGCGTGGCTTAGAAATCCTGCAGGGCACTGTGACACGTGATTGACAGATGTGGGTGTGGCTTAGAAATCCTGCAGGGCACTGTGACACGTGATTGACAGGCATGAGCCCACCCAACCTCCAGGATGAGAGAAGGAAGAGGCCTCGCTTCTGGAACATTCCTCTTGCTCGTTCCTTTAAAGCAGCTTTATTGAGGTACAATCATGGGACAATTAACTGCACATGTGTAAAGTCTACAGTTGGATAAGTTCGGACACATGTATCCACCCCTGAAACCACCACCACAAAATCAAGGTGATGGACAAATCCGCGTTTTTGTAATCAGTCCTCCCTCCTCCTCCTCTCACCCCATCCTGGCCCCAGGCCACCCCGATCTGCCTTCTGCTGCTGTAAATTAGCCAGTATTTCTTGGACTTTTAGACCAATAGAACCAGAGTAAGTTCTCTTTTTGCCTGGGTTTATACACTCCTTATAATGATTTCGAGATTCCTCTACGTTGTAGAGCAAGTTGACAGTGAGTTTCTTTTTATTCCTCAGTGTCTATACCATTGTCTGCTTTTCCATTCACTGGTTGATAGACATTTAGGTTGTGTCCATTTGGGGTGACAAATGAGGCTGCTGTGTATATTCATATACGAGCCTCTGTATGGAGCTGTGCTTACATTTCCCTTGGGTAAACACAAGCGTGGAATGACTGGATACCAGGGTGGGTACATGTTTAACTTTTTAATAAACTACCAAACTGTTTCCCAAAGTGCTTCTACCATTTTATATTCATGGCTACCATGAGTGGGTGAGAGTTCCAGTTCCTTCACTTCCTTGACAACACTTGCTGTTATCGGTCTCCCCAGTTTTAGCCATTCAAGTGGATGTGTGGGGTACCTCACTGGCATTTCTCTCTGCATTTCCCCAATAAGCTTATTCCCTAACGAGCAGTAACTCCGGAAAGAATGAAGAGATGGAGCCACAGCAAAAACAACACCCAGTTGTGAATGTGTCTGGTGATGGAAGTAAAGTCTGATGCTGTAAAGAGCAATATTGCATAGGAATCTGAAATGTTAGGTCCATGAATCAAGGCAAATTGGAAGTGCTCAAGCTGGAGACGGCAAGAGTAAACGTAGACATTTTAGGAATCGGCAAACTAAAACGGACTGGAATGGGTGAATTTAACTCAGATGACCATTATATCTACTACTGTGGGCAAGAATCCCTTAGAAGAAATGGAGTAGCCATCATAGTCAACAAAAAAGTCAGAAATGCAGTACTTGGATGCAATCTCAAAAACGACAGAATGATCTCTGTTCATTTCCAAGGCAAAGCATTCAATATTACAGTAATCCAAGTCTATGCCCTGATCAGTAATGCTGAAGAAGCTGAAGTTGAACGGTTCTATGAAGACCTACAAGACTTTCTAGAAATAACACCCAAAAAAGATGTCATTTTCATTATAGGGGACTGGAATGCAAAAATAGGAAGTCAAGAGATACATGGAGTAACAGGCAAATTTGGCCTTGGAATACAAAATGAAACAGGGAAAAGGCTAATAGAGTTTTGCCAAGAGAACACACTGGTCATAGCAAACACCCTCTTCCAACAACACAAGAGAAGACTCTACACATGGACATCACCAGATGGTCAACACCGAAATCAGATTGATTATATTCTTTGCAGCCAAAGATGGAGAAGCTCTATACAGTCAGCAAAAACAAGACCGGGAGCTGACTGTGGCTCAGATCATGAACTCCTTATTGCCAAATTCAGACTTAAATTGAAGAAAGTAGGGAAAACCACTAGACCATTCAGGTATGACCTAAATCAAATCCCTTATGATTATACAGTGGAAGTGAGAAATAGATTTAAGGGACTAGATCTGATAGACAGAGTGCCTGATGAACTATGGACGGAGGTTCGTGACATTGTACAGGAGACAGGGATCAAGACCATCCCCATGGAAAAGAAATGCAAAAAGGCAAAATGGTTGTCTGAGGAGGCCTTACAAATAGCTGTGAAAAGAAGAGAAGCGAAAAGCAAAGGAGAAAAGGAAAGATATTCCCATTTGAATGCAGAGTTCCAAAGAATAGCAAGGAGAGATAAGAAAGCCTTCCTCAGTGATCAATGCAAAGAAATAGAGGAAAACAACAGAATGGGAAAGACTAGAGATCTCTTCAAGAAAATTAGAGATACCAAGGGAACATTTCATGCAAAGATGGGCTCAATAAAGGACAGAAATGGTATGGACCTAACAGAAGCAGAAGATATTAAGAAGAGGTGGCAAGAATACACAGAAGAACTGTACAAAAAAGATCTTCATGACCCAGATAATCACGATGGTGTGATCACTCACCTAGAGCCAGACATCCTGGAATGTGAAGTCAAGTGGGCCTTAGAAAGCATCACTACGAACAAAGCTAGTGGAGGTGATGGAATTCCAGTTGAGCTATTTCAAATCCTGAAAGATGATGCTGTGAAAGTGCTGCACTCAATATGCCAGCAAATTTGGAAAACTCAGCAGTGGCCACAGGACTGGAAAAGATCAGTTTTCACTCCAATCCCAAAGAAAGGCAATGCCAAAGAATGTTCAAACTACTGCACAATTGCACTCATCTCACACGCTAGTAAAGTAATACTCAAAATTCTCCAGGTCAGGCTTCAACAGTACGTGAACCATGTCACGCTGGATTTAGAAAAGGCACAGGAAAGTGAAAAGTGAAGTCGCTCAGTCGTGTCTGACTCTTTGAGACCCCATGGACTGACTGTATCCTACCAGGCTCCTCCGTCCATGGGATTTTCCAGGAAAGAGTACTGGAGTGGGTTGCCATTTCCTTCTCCAGAGGATCTTCCTGACCCAGGGATCAAACCCAGGTCTCCTGCTTTGTAGGCAGACGCTTTACTATCTGAGCCACCGGGAAGTCTTCCAGAGATCAAACTGGCAACATCCGCTGGATCATCGAAAAAGTAAAAGGGTTCCAGAAAAACATCTACTTCTGCTTTATTTGACTATGCCAAAGCCTTTGACTGTGTGGATCACAACAAACTGTGGAAAATTCTTAGAGATGGGAATACCAGACCACCTGACCTGCCTCCTGAGAAATCTGTATGCAGGTCAGGAAGCAAAATTTAGAACTGGACATGGAACAACAGACTGGTTCCAAATCAGGAAAGGAATACAACAAGGCTGTATATTGTCACCCTGCTTATTTAACTTATATGCAGAGTACATCATGGGAAATGCCGGGCTGGGTGAAGCACAAGCTGGAATCAAGATTTCCGGGAGAAATATCAATAACTTCAGATATGCAGATGACACCACCCTTATGGCAGAAAGTGAGGAACTGAAGGTGCTCTTGATGAAAGTGAAAGAGCAGAGTGAAGAAGTTGGCTTAAAACTCAACATTCAGAAAACCAAGTTCATGGCATCCAGTTCCATCACTTCATGGCAAATAGTTGGGGAAACAGTGGAACCAGTGACAGACTTTATTTTGGGGGGCTCCAAAATCACTACAGATGGTAACTGCAGTCATGAAATTAACAGACACTTGCTCCTTGGAAGAAAAAGTCTGACCAACCTAGAGAGAAAATTAAAAAGCAAAGACATTACTTTGCCAACAAAGGTCTGTCTAGTCAAAGCTATGGTTTTTCCAGTGGTCATGTATGGATGTGAGTTGGACTGTGAAGAAAGCTGAGCGCCGAAGAATTGATGCTTTTGAGCTGTGGTGTTGGAGAAGACTCTTGAGAGTCCCTTGGAATGCAAGGAGATCCAACCAGTCAATCCTAAAGGAGATCAGTCCTGAATATTCATTGGAAGGACTGATGGTGAAGCTGAGACTCCAAAACTTTGGCCACGCGATGCAAAGAACCGACTCATTGGAAAAGATCCTGATGCTGGGAAAGATTGAAGGTGGGAGGAGAAGGGGACGACAAAGAATGAGATGTTTGGATGGCATCACCAACTCAATGGACATGAGTTTGAGTAATCTCCGGGTGCTGGTGATGGACAGGGAAGCCTGGCGTGCTGCAGTCCATGGGCTTGCGAAGACTTGGACACAACTGAGCTTCTGAACTGAGCTGAACTGAATGAGCAATATTGGCCTTTCCAGGCGGCTCATTGAAAGAATCTACCTGACAATGCAGAGGATGCCAGAGATGCAGGTTAGTCACGGGGCTTCCCAGGTGGCTCAGTGATAAACAATCCAGCTGCAAATGCAGGAAACGTGGGTTCAATCCCTGGGTCAGGAAGATCACCGGGGGAAGGCAATGGGCACCCAGTCCAGTATTCTTGCCTGGGAAATCCCATGGACAGAGGAGCCTGGTGGGCTACAGTCCATGGGGTCGCATGGGAGTTGGATGAGACTTAGTGGCTAAATAACAACAGCAAGCAACAACAACGAATAGTTGCTTTACAAGGCTGTTCGTTTCTGCTGTATGGCAAAATGAATCAGCTGTGTGTATACCTATATCCCCTCTCTTTTGGATTTCCTTCCCATCTAGGCCACCACAGAGCCCTGAATAGAGTTCCCTTTGCTGAGCAGTGGGTCCTCATTAGTTACTGTTTTATATGTAGCACTTATTTATGTTAACCCTAATCTTCCAATTCATCCCACCCCCTCAGCAGCCCCTTGGTTATCATAAGCTTGTTTTTTGCAACGAAAAACTTAATATTTATAAAGTCAAACGTCTCAATTTGTCTCTCAGTGAATAATGCTTTTGGTGCCATACCTAAAAAATCTTTGTCTAACCTAAGATCACAAAGACCTTCTAAAGTTTTATAGTTTAGGCTTTTCAACTATCTTCTAAAGAGATTCAAATTTTTAAAAAAAGTTACATACTTACCTATGTAGATACCATTTCCAGTGTTCTTAATTTCTTTGTTAAGCCCATGTTTCCTGATGGTGTTATTTTTCCTCTGCATGAAGGATGTTAACATTTCGTGTGGTTCAAGTGTGTTTCTGATAAATTTTTTTCCTGCTTTTATAGGTTTGAAAATGGTATTATTTCACTTTTGCTTTCCAACGCCATTTCACTGGGTGTATATTTGCTGACATTATCTTTTGAAAGGTATCTTTGTTTCAGAGACAAGTATAGACTGAACCGAACTGAAAGGTGCTGCTTCACTGTCTTCTCACTTGCGTTGTTTCTGACAAGAAGTCTGCTGTCATGCTTATTTCCCTCATCTCTATGTAATATTTCTTATTATCTGGCCTCTTTTTAAGATTTTTATCCTGAGCACTGCCTTTGAGCAATTTGGTTATGATGTGTCTTGTTTTTCTCTATAACTGTTGTGCTTGGAGTTTGTT